ATATCAGCTACTTGCTTATTGGTAATCATTTACTAATGATTTATGATCATTTCATGACTTACAGAAACGTTTTAGATGACCATTCTGACATATCACTTATTATTTTATCACTAATTAGTAATACACAAATAGTGCATTAAGGTTTAGTAAATGATTAGCAGAGATGGCAAAAGTACACACATTGATGCTGATTGGACTGTATATCCGGAGGCAGAACAAGCAGTCTAGAACAGTGACAGCTGTGATAGAAAAAAATCCCTCCCTTTCGCACTTTGGTGGTGCGTCGCGCTAATGAAGAAACCGCCCCGTGTATAACCACAGTTTTACTACAAATTCCATGGTTAAACTATGGTTAGTGTAGCAAAACCATCATTTGTTGTTACCTTAGTAACCATGGTTTTTGGTTTTATAAGCGTGTATCAAGATACCAATACTGCAACACATTTGTGAAATAAGTGATTGGTAACATATCAGCTACTTGCTTATTGGTAATCCTTTACTAATGATTTATGATCATTTCATGACTTACAGAAACATTTTAGATGACCATTCTGACATATCACTTATTATTTTATCACTAATTAGTCATACACAAATAGTGCATTAATGTTTAGTAAATGATTAGCAGAGATGCCAAAAGTACAGATACGCGTGTTTAAAAATACTCTGGTAAAAGTTGAAGTCCACAGAACGTGACTTGATGCTGATTGGACTGTATATCCAGAGGCAGAACAAGCTGTCTAGAACAGTGACAGCTGTGATAGAACAAAATCCCTCCCTTTCGCACTTTGGTGGTGCGTCGCGCTAATGAAGAAACCGCCCCTGTGTATAACCTCAGTTTTACTACAAATTCCATGGTTAAACTATGGTTAGTGTAGCAAAACCATCATTTGTTGTTACCTTAGTAACCATGGTTTTTGGTTTTATAAGCATGGTTAATTTTCATAACTGTTGCTAGCAGTTTAATGGGTGGGGTACTATGGATGTGAGGCCACAGAAAGTTTTAAAATGGCTGAACTGGAATTCAATCTACATGCTATAGTGCAAAAATGTTTGTGAAAATTTCCCGCATTATAAACGCGAAACCTGCAGGAATGTGCAGAATAATGCGCTATACCCGCCCCAGGCCCAGCTTAACTAAGTAAGCACAAACTAAATTACAGATGAAACTGACCTGCACTTGAAGTCCTGAACAGATCCTCTCACCACCAACACAGTGAAGGCTTGCATATTCCAGCTGTGATCTCTGCAACTTAAATTTAAATTGAACCCATGGCAAGGCTGGTGTAATATTAAACCAGCGCTGGGGTGAATTACTACTGCTTTGAGTTGATTGGTAGTAATAAATACATGATTAACATGCTTGTGTTTGTTGTCAGTCATGGCGTCTCCTGCTGGCCTCGCATTCCTGCTGTTGGTGTCGTCTGCCCTCCTCATCTCCACCGCGATCGGCCCTGCGTCTGCCGGACAGATCCAGCTGCACAAACGGTCTCCAGAGGACTTAAAGAAATTTAAAGAAGGGGCTACTGCACTGTACAAGTTGGCTCGTAGCAACATTGACACAATTACTTCAGTAGTCTGCCCTTTTCTGGAACTCATTCCAGTTTGTGGACCACTGATAAGTAGCTTTGTCAAATTAACAGCAGCAGAAATAAAAGGATACACTGATATGGACCTTCTCATGGGGGAATTAGAAAAACTTAATAATAAGCTTGACAGATATCATGTAGAGCAGAAGTGGAACAGCTGGGCAAGTGGTGCTTATTACAAGCCAGAGAAGCATATTGACTTAGCGTGGGCTAAGTACACAACTATGTTGCAGAGTCTTAGGAAGGCAAAAGATGATGCAGAAATGGAGAGGCATAAGAAGGATTTTAGGAAAGCCTATGAAATGTATGAGCCTGCCACTAAGACATTACACAATTTGCTGGTTAAGAAAGGAGTGAGCTTTAGATATCCCCTGGGAGATGCACTGGCTGAACATGTTAACTGTCATGAAAAGGATATCAGAGCATACACTGTGTTCATTTATAAACTCATCTACAAAGGCAATACAATGAATAAATACCACTATAAACTCAAGGACATAGAGTCTGATGCAAGGGCTGATGAGATGGCTAACATTGCATACAACATATCATCAGTTATGTTCCAAGTCCACATGCAGTGCATTGAAAAGAGCATGGACTACGTTATAAAGGATGTTAAAACACTCACTGACCCAAAAAAAGCTCGTTCAGATCTAGCAAAAGAAGTCTGGTCATTCCTGGTGAAGGCGTACGACAGGTACGACTGGATGGTTGTTGCGTTTATAAGCAAGAAATCTCAACATACATTAGTTAAGTTTCTGAACCGTCACGTCTTGTCAGGGTTTACTCCGGTGGAAGAAGGCATCGTCACTGTGGCTGTCGCCAGACAGGTGAAAGGGAATCACACATTGGCACTTGAGGTCAAACAAGCCATTGGCAGATGCATTGACGAGTCAGTCCTGTGTTACAAGGTAGCAGAGAAACTCGCTAAATGTAGTGAACTTGTGAAAGGTAAGCCAGTGTCACAAACTTACACAGCAGTGCACGCCTATTTAAGAGATGCTCACGACAGCCAGGATGCACAGAAAAAACAAGATGAAGACTATGACGTCAGTGCTGCTCCCGAAGACCGTCCAGATCTGTACATTTATAAGGGCAAGTGTAAGAAATTTCCATATTTGAAAGGCAAGTTTGTAGTTTTGATTAAAAGTGATGAAGAAATAATGACAGAAAATCCCTGCTCCAAGCTGAACTGTGGTGAGAAAGAAAAGAGAGGCAGCTGTGTTCGTGTGAAAGGCATGTTCCTGGCAGCGTGCGAGTGTAAGATGCCATACTATGGCCAGAATTGTGAGAAGAGCTTAGATGACTACAAGAAGTACTTAATGGCAACGGCACCAGTGGTGGACAGTACGCGTCGTTTGAGTGGTTCTGGCTAATGACGCATTCTGGTCTCAGCAAATTTCATGAAATGGCAGGATTTTGGAAAATTGGTAAAGTTCGCATTTAACTAAATATTCTCATTGAATATATCGGTGAGGCACCAAAAGCACGATGTTTCTTATCCATGAAAACACATGAATCCCAGAAAATAATCCTACATTTCTGAATAATACTGAATTTCTATCATCCAAACCTAATCTGAACCTCATTCCTTTCAATCAAACAGCATAACTGAGTGTCAGAGTTCAGGTCCATTTCATGAGATTGTTTTGTGATGCCCAGCGTGGTGTTCATATTTCTGAGATGATGTATGAAGGAAATGCATCATCGGCTGGTGTTGAGCTGTAACGCAAACTGCTGAGTAAATCGAGCCTCTGTCCACAGGCGGGGGGGACTGGATTTTTTTTACAAGGTCAAATAAAAATGTTTTTTATCCCATTCTGTGCAGCATTTTAGCTGAAAAAGTGATTCGATATAAAGTTGATTCAAACATAAATGGCCAGTTCCTTAACATAATGGGCAGAAATCTGTGGTTAAAGTGTTTGAAAAAGTTAAAGTACAGAGATATTTTATTTGAAATTATTTAATATTCATGTGTTGATGTATCTATAGTAAATTTCCATTTCCCCCCCTTTTTCATTAAAAACAAAGAAAACGCATTTATACCATACATACACCAATATATGTATTTTAGACACATCTGATTATTGTTTTTTATGTTATTGCTATGTTTGATTTGACAAATGTTAAAATGTGGCGATCACCTCCTGCCTGTCAATGTGATCAGAGTTTAACCTGCATGCTTTTCCTGCTTCAAGCTTCTGTCCTGATTCTGTAAGCTGGTAAAATTAATAATAAAAATCTGTTTTATTGCCATTGGGATGTCTTTTTATTTGCATGTTTACAAGTTTTTAAAATACAAGAATATTCAGTATATAAAGTTATGTAGTATGTCAAAGTACTAAATAAGACATTGTGTTTTTACTCTACACTGTAAAAAGAACTATGTGATAACTTATCTTTCAATACTTGTTTTTCTTAAATCTCTTGATTAAGTCATTAGTTTTAAGGCAAAAACTCAAGAAAAGAAGAACAAGCAAAGAACTGGGCATAGGGTACAGGCTGTGTTTAACTCGTTACAAGTAACGCGAGTTACGTAATCAGATTACTTTCCCAAGTAACTAGTAAAGTAACGCATTACTTAGATATTTCGATGTAAATTTAAGGGTTACTTTTTTATTACAAATAAATAAGCCTAGTCCAGGTGACAAAAAGTAACACAAAAGTAAAGTAATGCATTACTTTACACAAACAGTAACTAATGCAATTAGTTACTATTTTATGGAGTAACACACAATAC